TTTGGGGTTCTCATCAGAGTCTCCATTAACCAAATATGATTTTAATGATTATTTTGTTATTGATATGGTTGATGAGATTTTGTAGGAAAACACTTATAAGGTTCCATTAGAGATTTATTTTATTTAAGCAAAGGACCAAATCAAAGAATACATAAATTGCTTCAACGCATCCTCATCTTCCTTGGAATCAAAGGGGGCAATCCTAAAAGAATTGGAAAGGCACATCTCCTGGTGTAAACCCAATCCACCTCAGAATAGTCATTAGAGAATATCTTATGGTGGATTCAACTTAAGAGCAAGAAAGCCAACATTTAAGAAAACAACAGGACATGCCCTACGACCTGATCCAAAATCACCTTGAGTTGTAGAAAGTCTAGCTAATGACTATAAATTAAGCACTTCTTGGGAGGCAACCCTAGCATAAATTTTTCTTTTCTTTTATTTTTTTGTCTTTTATTTTATTAGTTTAGATTTTTTTTTCTCTTTATGGCCCAGGTTAATGCATAAATGGCTGTTCTCTGATTTTGGCCAGGTCATTGAACAAGTTTGGGGGATGAGATTATAGAAATTCACATGCTAAAAATCTCCTCTAATTGAAGACAACTCAACTTCAGAACTTAAATTTTAAGTTTTCAAGTGCAAAACCTGGGAAGTTTCTCTTTTCTCTTTTATTTTACATTGAGGACAATGTTTGATTTAAGTTTGGGGAAGAGAATAAATTTTAGGCATCCATTCTTATGGTAGTTTGCATTCATATTTGCATGACATACATTTTTTTTTTTAGAAATTAGGGTATTAATTTTTTTTTTTTAGGAGTTAGTCCAATTAGTGTCAAGGAATTGAATATTCTTGAGTTGGAAATTCTAAAACTTCTAAAATCTTTGAATCTTAAAAGAGATACATAATTTGAAAAATAGCACCATTGTGATGAAGTTTAAGTTCATGAGCATTCTATTCTACTTGAGCACAAGTTTGTAGTGAGAAGTTGAGAGAGAAGACTTAGTAGCACCTAAAAAAAAAAAAAACACACACACACACACAAAGGAGAAATAAGCCAACACACAAAAGAGTTTGTTAATTTCTACTCCAATGTTTCTAGTTGCTTAGTAATTGGGGGTTGGCACAAGACCCATGTCAACTTTCACGTCAAATGGTGATTTGAAATATTAGTATGCAAAGCACTTTCAATTTATGACTTGTTGAGTAATTTTTAGTATTTGCGTCAAAAGACAAGTGATAACTTGGGGAAGAATGTGTTGTATGACTAAAAAAAGAAAAAAGAAAAAAAAAAAAAAAAGAGAAGTTGAATGTTTCATGACCTTTGTTACTTGAGTAAATATGTTCTTAGGGGTGTCTCTTCACCTAATGATGGGAAT